GGAGTGCAAAGATGGCACTTGCCCAAAAAGGGGGAAAAAAGGAAAAAGAAAAATAAGATAAGAAAGAAAGAAGAAAAAGGTAAAAAGAAATAAAAAGAAAAATTAAAAAAGAGGGGAAAGTATGGCACCTGCCAGCTTTAGTTAGGCAGAGGGAAAGCGTAGAAGATGGTGCCTGCTAGAAAGGAATATATATATATATATATATTATAAAATCTACGTATATAACATACATACTGTTAGCTTTAGCAAGGTAGACAGAGACCAAGAAGCTTCCATCCCCAGAGAGTATCACAATGGGTCCTTACCCCTCAGACCAATGCTTTAAAATTAGGAAATGAGTCTCTTTCACATAAAGTCTGGGTGCTTTTCAAAGAGCTGCTTCTACACTAGGCTGTGGGTCCAGTGAGTCTGCATATGGGCCTTTCAAGAACCGTTCCTCAGTTCGGCAAAACCCTGTGGGTCTCATGGGTGACAACCCTGGTGGTTGTCAAAACCATATATTTGGGGGCTCATCTCTCAGGCTCCAGCCAGTCTTACAAGTTAGGATGTCTCATGTGGGGTACAAACCCTTTATTCCTCAGGGAGAAGCTCCAGGTTTTGAATTTCCTCCCAATTGTGGATCACCATGTCACGGGGCGGTGGGGGGCGGGGGGGGAGGAGTTTATGGTGAGATTGTATCTCAGCCCTTCCTACCCACTTTGGTGTGGTTTCCTTCTCACTTGCCCAGTATGAAGGTGTTGCTGCACCAGTTTTTAGGGTTTTTTAGAGGAAGTGGTTCCATATATAGCTGTACACTAGATGCGTCCATGAGAGGAGGTGAGTTCAGATTCTTCCTACATTTCCACCCTGCTAGAATTTTTTTTTATTTAAATTCAATTAGCCAACGTATAGCACATCATTAGTCTCAGATGTAGAGTTCAGTTGCATATAACACCGAATGCTCATCACATCATGTGCCTTCCTTCATGCCCATCACACAGTTACCCCAGCCCCCCATTCACCTCCCCTCTAGCAACCCTCAGTATGTTCCCTATAGTTAACAGTCTCTCATGGTTTGTCTCCCTCTCTGATTTCTTCCCATTCAGTTTTCTCTCCCTTCCCTTATGATCCTCTGTGCTGTTTCTTATATTCCACATATGAGTGAAACTACATGATAATTGTTTCTCTGACTGACTTTACTCAGCATAATACCCTCCAGTTCCATCTACCTTGACTGATGTAAGTGATTTCATCCTTTTGATGGCTGAGTAATATTCCATTACACACACACACACACACACACCCCACATCTTCTTTATCCATTCATCTGTCAATGGACATCTGGGCTCTTTCCACAGTTTGAGGTGCCTGTGGCCATTCTTTTCACTACATTTGTATCTTTGGGGTAAATACCTAGTAATGCAATTGCTGGGTCATAGTAGCCCTATTTTTTACTTTTGGAGGAGCCTCCATACTGTTTCCCAGAGTGGCTGCACCAGCTTGCATTCCCACCAACAGTGTAAGAGGGTTCCCCTTTCTCTGCATCCTCGCCAACATTGGTTGTTTCCTGTCTTGTTAATTTTTTAGCCATTCTGACTGGTGTGAGGTGGTATCTCATTGTGGTTTTGATTTGTATTTCCCTGATGACAAGTTCCGTCTTAATAGAATTTCTGATTAAGGTTTTTTACATTATTTTTCTATAATAATCTGTAAGCACAAACTTTTAAGAATCGTAACTTCTAACATTCAGATCCCTAATTTAAGCATGAAGAAACACTAACTTGAATCTTGCCAGGATTGTTTAATAAAGCTAGATTTATATAAATTTAGTTTCCTCTACAATTACATCTCCCTTGTATTTTTTATAGTAGTAGCATGTTTTTTCATCAGCCTTTGACATTTAGAAAGTAAGAGCTATGCACTGATAGCTCTGCAAGAAAATAACTTTAATGAAATTTTTTTCTGTCGGTCCCAGAGTGAACATGAACTTTAAACTTGAATGTTGTACATAACAAAGGGCATGGCTGCAGCTGAAAACATTTATAATGAAGTACAGGACTCAATTTCTACTTTATCCTCTGTCAACAGTCCTAGGATAGCTGGGTATATAGCTTTATGATGAAGCATTTTTCCTAAGATGTGTGTGAAAGCTAAAAAGTCAAATCTGATAGTATTAGAAATAATGAAACCAGGTTAAATGCAAGGAAACTAGACTGAGTACAACTACTCAACATACATATTAAACGAACATTTGCAGATTGACATTGGTAAACACAGGAACCTCCCTCCTGGGTTTAAGAATGGGTTTCGGTTCCTTCTCTGTTTTTTAAAATGGCAAAGATTGGGAATGTCAGGGCAGGAAGTGCTTTAGTTAAGCAGTCTGGTATTCCTTTCTGTCTGCACATTTCCCAAAGGGTGTTTCACTAAATGGAGAATGGATTTGAGGAGAGGGTCCTCTTTGTGGGGAGGAGATGGATGTCTTCGCAGTTTTAACGAAGACTGCTGTGACCCATCCCCTTGCAAAGTAGTACTTCAATGTATGTTATCCTTCTTAATCCTTTTAATAAGGCTTTGAGATATAGGTCATATTCTCACTTTAAAGTTGACAAAACAGGTGAAGTAACTTGCCCACATAAATATCGGAACCAGGAGTCTAACTGGGCTCCTGACTCCAGAGCTTTATACCTGGATGTGCGTACACTGATGATGCGCTTACTGTATTCTGAGGAAGCCAAAGGCGGATGATAGTCTGAAGGCCGTTTGGTAAGATGTTACTTATTTGATTGTCTCCCCACAACTTGGCTTTTGTGGTATTTGGTTCAAGTTGGTTACTCTGAGGAAATAAAATGCTAAGGGACATTAGAGTCAAACAATAGAAAACACTTGTATAAAACTCTTATTTGAAATTAGCATCTGACGCTCATGACCCTTTCCACCCTGAAAGGATAATCTCCTTCAGTGTCCCATTGTTAGGGACTGTTGCCCCCTGAATATCACTGTGGTGGCTTGTGGGCTGTCGCCGCCACACAGCAGAGTTTGATGACTAATTCCCACGCACCGTCACTGGAGAAAATAGTGTCTGATCTCATGTTGGCACCACCTCAAAGTTATACCGCCTCGCATCTCACTTCTGTTCGTCTTAATCACAAGCCGTTTTGAATCTGCCTCACACATGTGTGCCTCGGGGGGCCAGCCAGAGATGTGGGCAGAATTTACACACAAACTCTGGGGCCCCCACTATGCATTTTTTCCTCCTTTCTGGGATTTTACACACACACACACACGCACATACACACACACACTTTCCAGCTGCTGTGGTTACCTCCATCTCCATTCTGTACTTTTTCAAGCCAGTGAGAGTGCAGGTTTCTCCAGACCGTAGTGACCCTCCCACCCAGGAGCCTGTCCTCAGGCTAAAAGCTCTAAGACTGGGAAACAGCCTGCACCATGCCATTCCCTCTTGCAAGTATCGAACTTTTACCTCCAGTACCCACCTTATTCTGGTCACTCTTTGATGCCTTTAGGTAGGCTTTTGTAGTTTCAAATTTCATCTAGAGTTTAATTTGTTATCAGTGTGTATGTGCTGGGGGCCTAAGGGATGGCAGCGGAGGGGTCCAAAAGAACTTTAGAGAGCTGTCTTTTTAAGTATCAAATCCTGTGCAAATCCATCAACTTTCATGTTAAAATTAGATACAGATGACATCAAAAATGTTTTAGCACTATGCTCTCACAAAATAATGATTCACTGTCGACCTATCTTCTGCCTATTTTGTTCATGCTGTCCCTTTCCATCTAAATCTCTCCTCAATTCAATTACTGCCTGAGAATGATTTATTGAGTACTTACAAGGTGCAAGCCACGATGTCAGGTGCTCTGTAGAAATTTTGTTCATTCAGAATCCAAATCAAATGAAAATGCCTCCAGGATCACTCCCTCCCTCTTAATGGGAAGATGTGCTTTACCGTTCTTCTAAATGCCTTTGGTGCTTTGCCCTTCCCTTGCTTTTCTCCCCACCATCACCAGACCTGTTCCCCCATTAGATTATAAACTTCATTATGGCAAGGACAAGTCTCACTCATGTTTGCACCCATCCATGCTGCCTTAAACATGCTTTTTAATGTCAAGAATAAAAAGTTAACTTAAGGGGCACCTGGGTGGCTCAGTCGTTAAGCGTCTGCCTTCGGCTCAGGTCATGATCCCAGGGTCTTGGGATCGAGCCCCGCATCGGGCTCCTTGCTCAGCGGGAAGCCTGCTTCTCGCTCTCCCACTCCCCCTGCTTGTGTTCCCTCTCTCGCTGTGTTTCTCTCTGTTAAATAAATAAATAAATAAATAAATAAATAAATAAATAAATAAATAAATAAATCTTTAAAAAAAAGTTAACTTAAAAAAAGTCTTTGCAGTTGGAAAGAAGGGGAGATGGTAGAATTGTAGAACATTAGCTTCCTGTCTTTGTTTTCAGCAGTAGAGAGGGACATCATGTAATAAAGCATTATTTGTTTCTAGAGAACATCTTAATAAAGACAACTCTTGGTTTTTTCCTCCCTCTTCCTTCTCCTCTTCTTCCTTCTTGCCTTTCTCCTCTCTTTCTCCCTCCTCCTTTTCCTCCCTCTTCCCTTCTTTTTCTCACCATTTAACTGTGGTCTGATTTTAATCTTCAACTTCTTAGTATGTCTCGTCTCATTTTAAAATGGGATAATATATGTGTTGGTATGAAACACCTTTTACTTTAAGTTATTACAGTAAAGAGAGGCTTTTCTTTGCCTTTGAAAATTCAGTGCCAAAAATCAAACAGACCAGTGATGTTCCAAAAATGGGATGGAGAATAATCCAAATATTTGACTTTTCCTTAAGTTATAAAATATTACCGTGAAATTTCTTAGATTGAATTGTCAGTAACAAAGGACATCTATAAGCATTTTTCTCTTTGAACCATAGTAATGAATATCCTGTAAATTGGAAACTATAAAAATAAGACTAAGTGAATTAAAATAGTTTTCCTAATAATCTCACTTCTTCCTTAGATTCAGGTCAGAAGACATTTAAAAGGAGACGATCTATCATAAACTGGGCCTTCTGGCGTGGTTCTAGCACTCATCTGGATAACTTGCCCATGTCGCCAACATCTCCTATGCCAGGCCAGCTCTTTGGAGTCTCTCTCCCAGATATTTGTGAGAATGACAATCTGCCTAAACCTGTCTTGGTGAGTCTCGTTTTGGCCTGTGACACTAATGGGAAAGGAGAACCCTGGGAGGTAATCTATTCTTAAATGGAAAAATTGTAGACATGGCTTTGGCTTTGGCTGAGAATATTATTATTACTTCAAAGGAAAAAAATCTGATTAAGCTATTGCAGAATCCTAAGGGAGACATAATGGGGAGAGATCATGTAGGCTGCTGGTGTCAGGAAGGAGCCACATAAGCCTGCTCAGATAAATCAGAGTTTGGCTCTGTAGGCAGAGCCCACACTGGAGTCCCGTTATCCCCCGCATTTCTCTCACAGCCTTTCAGGAACTCTGCATTGTTCTGGAAGCCTCCTTTAATCACTCTAGAAGCAGAAACTACTCTTTCTTGTACTTTTTAAAAATCTGACGTGTGTCTTATGTGTATTTCAGGTGTTTACACTTGTACATCCTCTGGCATTTAGTTACCTTTCATAATAGAACAGGTCAAATGAAACCAATGAGTTTGTACTGTGTCCTTGATTTATGAAATGATTGCTGCTCAGCAGCATCCACTGAGCATTCCGTATCCTACAAGCACTGTACTGGACATACGGAACATACGGGACATACAGGACTTGACCCTACATCATGCTCTGACACATGCCGCCCGCTCCCCTCGCCGCTTTCGTGCTCACCCTGCACAGTGGATTGAGCATTTATTATCACTACCACCATCCCTACTTTACACGTTTAAAAGGCCTCAAGTTTTCCAAAGTTCACAGAGTAAATATGTGCCATAACTAGATTTCAGATCCCTTGGGTTGCTTGTCCCCAGCACCCATTCTCCTTCCTACACCACAGGCAGAGGACATTTCTTTGCTAGAAAGAAAGCAAAATGAAAGATTGATCACAGTGCAGTGGAGTGGAGAAAGCTTCCTGGAAGAGGTGACTTTTTTAGCCTGATTTTAAAAGAATGAAGTAAATACAGGAAGTAGAATGAGGTATGGAGTCACATAAAAAGAAAGACAAACAAGTGGAGAATGAGTCTGGCAAGAATATCTCCGTATTTGGAGGAAAGAGTCCAAATTAGAGAATAATAGGAAAAGAGGAGTGAGGGAAGGAGGGACACAAGTTTACAGGGACCTTGAAGCAATCAGAGAAAGTTTGTTTTAAAGTGTTGGTTCATTGAACAAAAGACAGTCCCATTAAAGTAAAATGTTTTAGATGTTGCATATAGCGAGAATAAGTAGGGGAAAGAGACTTAGAGATACCAAGACACAAACTGACTCCCGTCCTTGCAGCAGCCCCTCCTTCAGTGCTTTTCCCCTGGGACACCCCAGCCCCTGGCGGCCAGAGGGGGCAAGTATGTCTTCCCCTGCTTGTATCTGTGAAGTGCCATTTTGGTTTTTTCCTTTGCTTTCCTTATAGGATATGCTTTTCTTTCTTAATCAAAAAGGACCCCTCACAAAAGGGATCTTCAGACAATCGGCCAATGTGAAATCCTGCAGAGAGCTAAAAGAGAAACTGAATTCTGGAGTTGAAGTACACCTAGACTGTGAATCTGTTTTTGTGATAGCGTCTGTCTTAAAGGTAGGAAAGGTTCTCCCTTCATCTACCCCACAGTGGAGCTCTGGAAAGAGACAACTGGTTTCTCTCATTACAACATTTTTCCCAGCTGCAAAGAGCCATCATGGATTTAGAATCTAAAAAGTGTTAAAAACAAAAACAAAAACTTCACAAAATCAACATTGGCCTTTAAAAGCCCCTGCCAATGATATGGCATGTCAGATATGCTTTTTAAATTTTTTCATCCCACGCCACTCTCATCTTCACTCTGCCACCCCATACAAAAAAAAAAAAAAAATTAAACTAAATTAAAAATAAAGCACACACAGCATATTTACCAAAATAAACATCCTGATTGTGATGACTTCTTCACAATCTCATTACCTTCCTAATAAAGGCAAATTTTCAAAAATAAACTTGTATTAAACTTTGAAATAGAGTTTATCATAATAAATATTTGCCTAACAACTAAAACAAAAAATTGCTCACTGAGACCACTGAAAATTCCATTCACTTATACAATCATCATGCCTTCCCCTGTCGCCTAGTGCCTTTTTAAAGTAAAGGCAGAGTAGGAATGACTCCAACATCTGGGTCTTTTCTAAAACCCTTACCACATTTGGCATTTTTTATGATTCTTACCCTTTACCCCATGGTTACTTAACTCACATCCATAGCTGAGTTAGAACTCTTCTAAAATGTTTTCCTCCTCACATTCTTGAAAATGCCTCACATGTTTTGAAAACCTAGAGTCAGAACCAGCTTTTAGCAGAGGTTTCAACCCCAGCCATAGCTTCTGCAGACCTGTCTCAGGCTCCCATCTCCCAGCCCCGTTGGAATGCACCAGGGCCAGGGGTGGAGGAAAACATGGTGAAGATGACCCTTGCATGTCTCTCCTCCTGCTCAGCTGCTTACAGAATCTTACTTCATGACTTGATAAATGATCAGATGTTTCCTGGCAAATGAGCCATGTCTGCTCTTAACCCCTGCTGTAAACTTTTGCAATAAAGTATCAGTCAAAGAAATGGAGATCTGGAGCTAGGCTCATCTAATCTATTTGCCCAGGGTTTGTGACTACTCTTCAATTCTGAAATACAATAAAGATATGTACGGTGTGCTTAGACAGATGTATGTGTGGATATATGTGCACAATGAATTTTTCTTTTTTTCCTTCATATAACTAGGCTTTTTCCCATCTCTTAATTTAAAAAGTTAAAGCCTACATTTTTGAATATTTTCCTTACTATGCTATTCTTCACAGCACCACACTTAAAATTTTGTATTTTTGAAGCTATTATCAAGAAATATGGTTCCAGAGGAGTCAAATTGTATTTCAAATTGCAGAAATATCACTGGTACAAAAATAAGCAAAAGAAAAATGATTGAAAAATCTGGTTAAATGGGTTCCAAATAATTGAAGTTTTGTAATCGGGTAACTAACTGTGTGTTACTCTCATTTCTTCCAAGTGGTTGCAGGAAAGAAGATACTTTGTGCCAAACGTTTTTGAGCTTTTGGTTTGGTTTGTTTCTTGTGTTTAAGACTATTTGGAAGTGGTACTTAAGTTTTCCTTTAATTTTTTACTTATGCTGGTTTTGCTTAAATACAAGCTTAATTCTTTAAACTGTTATGGGAAGAAAATTGCTTGAGACACTATAACTTTGATCCATTAGACCTTTGAGGAAAAGTTCATTTTTAAGGCTGCAGGAATCTGATCTCAAATTAATTTGGGAGTTCTGCTGAAGACCTGGGTTCTGCTCTTGGAGGGGCGGAGACTTGCAGTTGAGTGCTGTGAGCTGGTGATTGTCATTCAGAACCAGCGCTCACATCCTTTCTCAGCTGTGATGGTGGTTGTATTTCGTAACTTGTTATTCCAGCTGTGAAGAGTTCATTGAGATGTTACGGGTTATTATCTTTCAAGTGTAGGTTTAAGATTTAATGATGTTTTTCTTCAAGACAGATCATAAGTATGTTTTCCACTGAGATTTAAAAAGAGAACTATTGTCACTGCCCCACTTTGAAATAACAAATTTTGCCTCTTCTAAATCTGACTTTTAAAGTAAGTGCAGCAACTAAAATTAGTTTGGAATTATGAAAATTCAATAGCTTTACCCAAAAGGAGATGACTTTTGTGATGACACATCTCAATTACAAGTATCCAGGTACATTTCTACAGAAGATATAATAGAACAGAGAAAGACTTTGAAGTAGTCTCTTCCTACTTGTTAACCGTTCTAAAAAAATGTAATAGGTGACATGACTACAAGAGATGTTTTAAATTATCTTAAAATCTCAGTTACAGTTAGTTGGCCTTCCCTTGTTCCTCATCAATATGTGGCCATGTGAAAAATAGCACCAGTTCAGTAATGACCTCTACTGTGTCCGGGACTATGTGTGGCATTGAGGTGTACAAAGAAGAGATAGGGTCTATGCCTGCCTTGGAGGAGCTCATACTGGGGAAGATGCACACCTGATCAGCAAAGTGTAACAATCAGATGCTACAGCTTCCCTGGTAGTGATAGAAACATGACACAAGAGTAACAGGTTGTGTGTTGCCGTTTGTAAGGCACGTAGGTAAAGTTGCTGACTTGGTTTTCTAGCGAGAGTTAAAACTGCTTAATTGCAGACTTTCACCTGTCTCCATGTTGTAAGCAGGAACTTGCAAGACCGTGGGTACAGTGCTTAGATCTGAAGTTGAATTTTTTCTGCCTAATGTTTACTGAGGTAGAGATCAGACTTTGTAAGCCTGGCCTTGTTCATACCATGCCAAAAGCAACAGAGTTGGCCTAGAACACAAATGAATATAGGACCAGGACCAAATTTAATTTATTTTTAAGCTTTTTAGAAACAAAAATCAAACAACAAATACCCTTGGTCATATCCTATTTGTGATCTAGTCTGGTTTCACCACACCCAGCCCCACCGGCAGTCTCAGCAGACTAGGGTCCCAGAGGATAATGTACCGGGGACGTGTTGAGTATGCGTCAGGCATGTGGGTGCTGTCCCAGGCCCCCAGAGCCCAGCCCACACATAGCCTGGAATGCTTCCTCCCCCGTCTCGAAATACATGAGGGGAATGCCAGGAGAAACTCCGAGGGCCTCTGGATGGAGTTGTTCACCAATGCCACTGGAGTATAAAGTTCCAAAATAACAGGGGCTTTGTTTTACTCACTTCTCTGTCCTCAGCCCCTCAAACAGTACCTGGCACATTGGAGCAAATATGTGTAGAATGATCAGATGACTGACTACCACATTAGGAACCTCACAAACATCTTAGTGCATTTCTTTGAACTGGTGATTTGAGAGCGGAAATATAAAGGACTTAGGATGGTTTGCCAGACCCTGTCATGTTGTCCTAGTTGGCTAAAACATACACAAACGAGATTGCAGCCCAAACAGGTTGTCCTTATCTTTCCCACTATAGTCCAGACTCCAATTTCCTCTGGTTTTTGTTAGAAAAAAATCAAAGCCTGTGTTTCTACGTGTGCACGACCGTGGAGAGTTGGCACAGAGCTCCATGTACTCCAAAGAAGGGAAGACTTAACTTTTCAACGAAATGTTTGCTTTTTTATTTCCCCAGTACATATTTAGCATGAAAATAATGACTTAAAATATTTATTTCCCTTCTGTGTAAGGATTTTCTACGAAATATTCCAGGAAGTATTTTTTCATCAGATCTCTATGATCACTGGGTCTGTGTCATGGATCAAGGAAATGATGAAGAGAAAATAAATACAATTCAAAGGTAATTATTCTAATTTAGTCATGTCTCAAAAATACTTTAAAAAAACATATTTTGTGAGCTTGTCGATTCAAGTAATGATGACTATCAAAGTCATATCCATGAGGACCAGGTTTATGCTAGCTCTATCATTGTTACTATTGTTTTTCCCTAATCTTATTAGCATAGAATACTTGACCATTGTACACCTCCTCTATATCTGAATCTGATAGGAGCTGAAACCCATTAAACTAATAACTACTATCATATACTCATTCTACAATGTATGATCTTAATTTTGGTAAATACTTAACTAACCAGACAGCTCCTTGTATATCTCATTCAGCAACTGAATTCATATGGAGAAAATTCCCTCTCCTCAAGGAACTTGCAGTCTTAGTAGAGTAGATAGAGAAACCAAGAATTACAGTGTAGCATAATCAGTGCTACAGAAGAGATATGGAGGAGGGTACTGCAGACGGACAGGTAACTATTGAAAAGTGTAAAGGAAAAGGTGAGTTGCAAAGCCTCAGTCTTATCACAAAGAATGCATTGTCTATTCTAATGCAAAGGGAGCCTGCTGGCATAACTCACCACCCATATTCCTGAATGTTTCGTGCATTATAAGAGAATTGGAAAGAAGTGTCCGTTAACAAAATGCAATACTCCCAGTTCTGTAAAAACCCAAGAATCCTAAAATCATTTATCTGCATATGCTTGTTTAGTACAGTTTTTTTCTTGAGCACCTTTCAAGTATGAATTATTATTTATACACTGCTATTGGTAGACACCTTTTATCAGTAGAACTTAGTACAACTGTTAAAGACACCAGAAATCAAAGCCACATCACACATACTATCTACGCTTCCATTATGGTTCGGTGGAAGCCATGCAGAGATAATGACCATCAGCTTCTCTGCGTTGTTGCTCATTGTCTAAAACTGTGTATCCTACAAACTGTTAAAGGTTGACTAAAAAAAAAAAAAAAGTAAAATTAAGACTCATACAAATATAAAATGAACACATGTGAAAATTTTTATTTAAATCTTTAATTAATGAGAGAACCAGTTAGATGTTACCATCAGTTCGAAGATTTCAAACTACCACAACTAACATAGTTGCATCAGAAATGCTGAAATGAATTTACACATAGATACAAAACTGGCTTTTTCTACTGGAGCATGAAGAGGGAGCAAATAAATCATGTCTCTCCACCAGACAGAATTTTCAAGTCTACAGACAAGTGTTAGATGCAGTGCTATCAGAAGTCTACAATTTACAGAGTTGTAAAATAGCTCAAAGGCATAGGGCCCCTATGCAATCAGATAACCCAGAAGAGTATGCTAGACAGCACCTTACTTTCCATTGAATACACTCAGGAATCTCTCGGTTTATTTCAATATCTTTTATAACTTGTCCTTACAAAACTATCCTCAGTGTCAGTCCGTCACACTGAAGGAAGGCCTCTGTGCTCTTTATGCAGGAAGAGTCACATTACCTTATTTTCCCTCCCAGGTTGCAGACTTCTGTTGAAAAAAAAAAAAAAAAACAACCATGAATATCAACATATATGTCTTTTTCCTGGGTAGTCAATATAATTTTCAATGAATAATAATTTTAAAATCCCTTATCAATTACAAAATAGGAACAGTAGGAAATGTACTATTATAAGTTTGACTTATATGTGAAAGTGATACCAGTGAGAAAAAGAAATTTGGGACAAATTTGACATTGGAAGCTGGTTGAGCAGAACAGAAGCTGTCAGAATGGACCTGAAAGTCTTAATAGTTAAGGTTTGGGTTCTCACCAAGAGACAGAATTCCTGTATTGCTACTTAGAAATATAGAACCACTAAAATTTAATTGTTTAATTTCATCAAAAAGCTTTTGGGGGGGGGGGTCTTGGTTGAGAATATTCTGAAATGTTACAGGATTTGCCTAAATTAAAACACATTGCACTAATTTCAGGTCAATATTTCAGGCAGGCAGCTTTTTTTTTTTACAAGCCATTTTTCTGCATTCTTTTGCATCTTCATTGGGTTGTGAAGACAGTGTCCAAAATAAATGAATAAATCCCCAGTACATATTTTCATTCTTTCTGTATAGGCAGTCCCTACTTTGCATGTACCATATTAACTGAAACTCTTGTATATCTGAACTGTGTTCTTGCTTTGCATGGTTCCCCATGAAAAGCAAGGGTTGCTTATCTACACAAGTTTTTTATGAAATGTCTTTCTTAAAGAGTGCGTTTTTCTGTCTTTAGGCTATTAGACCAGCTTCCGAGAGCCAATGTTGTTCTCCTAAGGTATCTTTTTGGGATATTACACAACATTGAGCAGCATTCCTCATCCAATCAGATGACTGCATTTAATTTAGCGGTGTGTATTGCTCCAAGCATTCTTTGGCCTCCTACTTCCTCCAGCCCAGAACTAGAAAATGAATTTACAAAAAAGGTAATGAAGTTTTTCATTTTTATGCCCTGGGGGACTGAATTCCCATTTTGAACCTCAAATTCAGGGTATTAATTCTGAAAGATATTTTCTGAAATAACTTAAATACACCTCCTTATAAATTTGAGTGTACTGAGTATTTTATCCTATTCTGGATAGGATTTCTTGAGCAAAACAGAGATAGCAGTTGGGTTACTTCTCTTTTACCTTCAAGGAGGCAAAACACTATGACTGACTTAAACCTTAGAGTTATATAAGAAAGCAGATGATATGATTTAATAAAAAAGGACTCTGGACTTAGACAAGCCATTCCTCAGCCCCACCACTTGCCAGATGTACAATCTTGGATGCAATTAGTTCTGTTGATCCAGTTTCCTCATCTAAAAAATGGAGGTGGTGATGATACCTAGTTCATACTGCAGTTATTTGAAATCCCACCCCTCTAGTGCCTGGTAGTTAAGAGGGGGCTTAGGAATATTAGTTCCTGTGGCTCCCAACACTCTGCCTGATCCTTCGCCTCAGCTACTGGGGCAAGGAACCTAAGGAAACGTTCCACTGCATCTCAGTGGAGGCACAGAGCTCCCGCATAAAATCTTACCTCCTCCCCCACCTTCTCCTTGGAGCCTAAGGGAAGGAATCACATAGGTAGAGACTAGTGAGGCAAAATGCAAGTTTTCTCTCTAGCTGTCTCCCTACTTCACAGGAAACCCACAGAGGATGCCCACTTCCCACGCTATGACAACTGCCTTTTATATATGAAATACATTTCATAAGTCTTTACCTAATGATACTTCACATGAATTTTAATAAGAAAGTTTATTTCTTTACCCCAAATGCCCTGTAGAGAATACTTTGTTAGCCTAATTTTATTTCATTTTTTAAAAATTTTATTTATTTAGAGAGAGAGCAGGGGGAGGGACAGAGCTGGAGAGAGATAATCTTAAGCAGACTCCATGCTGAGTGAGGAGCACAATGTGGGGCTCAGTCTCACGACCCTGAGATCATGACCTGAGCCGAAATCAAGAGTCAGATGCTTAACCGACTGCATCACCCAGGGGCCCCAAGTTACCCTAATTTTGAAGATGTAGCATTAGTATTAAAAAATGTTAACATTGAGCTAAGGCCACAAGAAACTTTAGTCCACCAATTAAAATTAATATCTACACCCAAACTACTCTTGCAAGTATCATAGTTTTTTAGGGGGAACTGTTTTGTATATATTTAAAGCAGACATGAATTTTTCTCAGGATTCTTTTTCATTTTTGGTAAAATCAGGAACTATATATGAAATGTGCTTTATAGACATTCTATATGGAAAGTAGCACTTTGTTTTTGTCCTTTTTTGTGCAGGTTTCTCTGCTTATACAATTTCTGATTGAAAATTGCTGTAGGATATTTGGAGAAGAAATCACTTCCCTCTTGGGACAGGTTTCAGTGAGATGTGATACTAGAGAGAATGCCTCAGGTATTGTGAATAATTGGATTGGTTTTTGTGAGAAACAGACATGTGCCTGTGAAAATGCTGGGACAGTGTCCTGGGGCCTGCCGCAGTTCAGTCAAGGAAACCTCTGACTTCAGTCGTGGGCCTAGGGTTTCTGTTCCTCCTTGGATGACCTGCTAATAGGTCAGGTCATGTTAACACAGTGGTGGGGTTAAGAAATGTGTAAGATGAGGTCCAAAACTTCCAGAAGCATCATATGGTATGTTTTTAATCTTTTTTTAAATAAACCTTTACAAGGATCCCTAACATATATAGTAGAACTTCTGTGGCTGAAACTAGAGTAAGAAGTCCCTGAAGACGTAGAGGCAGGGCTTGGTCTTCTCCCCCCTTCTCCTTCGAGTGGCCCCGAGACACTTTAGCCTGCTGCGAAACAGTTTAGAAACAACTAGCACTGTGGGGCCAGGGGGGATTTTGAAACCATTCAACCTTCCAGAATACGAATTCCCAGACCACCAATTACTAGTTATCTTTGACCAATTATTCTTTTTTTTTTTTTTTTTTTTTTTACTTAAATTCAATTAGCCAACATATAGTACATCATTAGGTTTTGGTATAGTGCTCAATGATTCATTAGTTGCATATAACCATTTTTGCCACTGAACATCAATATCTTCATCTATAAATATGGGTAACCATAATGTCTAACTTCTATGGTTGTTGGAAAGATTAAATAAAGTAGTGAACATTGAAGAGCTTGGGTTAGTAAATGATTCCTCTGAGACCAGACCATGTGTGCTCACCCACAGTCATAAACCTGCATATACCTCGCATTCATTCCTTTATATTTTGTACCATTTCTTGGTATTAACAACATGTCCTTATTGCTTTGAGGAGATCTTAATTAAGAAAGCCTATTTCTTCGGGAACTGAGATAAATTCAGTATATAACTCAACATATTTTTTTTATTCTGGGAAGACTGAAAAAGATCCTTTCTAAGAGTAGGAATCTGAACAATCTCCATAAAAAGAAAATTAAACTAAGTACCATAGATTGTTTTTTTTAAGGCAGCATGTATTTTTGGTAAGCGAAAATGTTAATTGTGGTTTGATTTTTTGACAGATATCTCTTGCTTCCAACTGAATGACTCCTCCTATGACAGCTTGGAAAATGAGCTAAATGAGGATGTTGATGCTCCTTGTAGTGACTTGGTAAAGAAACTTGGTCAGGGTAGCAGAAGCATGGACTCTGTATTAACCCTCAGTGACTATGACCTCGACCAGCCTGAGGTGGAAGGCCTTTTAACCCTGAGCGACTTTGACTTGGACCGTTCTAAAGATGAAGACATTCAGATGGAACGGCCTCATGAATCCAAGCCAGTGAACATTGCAGTAGTGTACACAAAGGTCCCACTGCGCGATCATGCCAGGGCCCCATCTGGCATGAGCACACCCAGCTACCTGTCCACAGCTGCAGCAGATGTTCCGAAAAGTCTGAGGCGACACCGTCGCTGCTCAGAGCCCAGCATCGATTATCTAGATTCTAAGCTTTCCTATCTCAGGGAATTTTATCAGAAAAAGCTACGCAAGTCCAGCTGTGATGCAATTCTCTCACAAAAAGATGAGGATTATCTGAAGCAGAATCAACCCCTCCAGGAAGAGGGTAAGACCTATTTTAAACAGAGTTTAGTCGCAGGCACTGATACCAAGAAAAATGCCACTAATAAAAATGTTAAGAAGAAAAGCTTATCTGGTAATGAAGGAAATCATGTGAAACTTTTTTCTAAATCCAAGCCAGTGGCCATTTCTGTGGCATCTTATAGTCACATATCCTCACAGGATCATCCCAGGAACCAGCCCTTTGGTGCAGATACATCTGGATACTCCCCACCAAACACAGCAGATGCCCTCAAGGGTTCAAGGAGGCACCGGCGCTGCTCAGAGCCCAACATGGATGACCAGCACTGCAAACTGACCTATCTCAGGGGAATTTATTCAAAGAAACAACATAAAACTAGCTATGAAGCTGGTCTCTTGCATGGAGAAGAAGATTATCTCAAGCGGCACAAGTCACTGCAGATGGAGGGGCAAAAGCTCATTAATCAGAGTTTGGTCATGGGGATTGAGGTGGGCAAGAGTAGTGGCACAAACCAAAACACTGAGAAGGGTTTACCCCCAAGATTAAACATCTGCCCAAGGACTAGCTATTCCAGCTTGTCCTCCCCAGGAACTTCCCCATCTGGCTCATCAGTGAGCTCCCAAGACAGTGCTTTTTCTCAGATTTCTGAACACTCTGTGTTTACCCCCACTGAAACTTCCTCTCCAATAGATTGCACTTTTCAAGCTCAAAGAAAACAAGAAGAGCTTTCTTCTGATTTTAGCAATTCCAGCCTCATTTCTGCAACTCCTGGTCCCTCATCAGGGCAGGCCAGCAGCCGCCTGGCTTATACGAAAAAGGATACTGTAGAATGGCATTCACAAATACATTCTGTAACTCTTCACCCAAGCACATGGTTGAGAAATGGTGTGGCCAGTTTGAAAAACTGGTCCCTCAAAAAGAAGGTAAGGGCATCCAGACCAGAGGAAAAGAAAGTAAGTTTTCTAAAAGGACCCATGGAGCCACCTCCACATGCTCCTGGTATATCAGAAGCCAACCCAGTACAAGAGAGACAGAAAGACATGCCCCAAAGGGCACCTGAAGAACTTGGAACTGTGCAAACAGCCCAGTGGTACAGTTCTTACCCCAGCCAGGACTCAGAGAGACCCTGTAGGTCTCCATTCAGCCTAGTGGAGGACAGACTCAAGCTCTGTGTGAAGTCACACAAGGATGGAGAGAATAGTGAGCAGTGCTCTCCTGGTACTCTGCCTTGTAAGAGATCCTCACCCAGCTCTTTGTCTGTGGATGATCTGTCCAGCCCAGACACAGAGCCTACAGTGGTTGGCGATACTGGGGACCAACATTTAGCCAAAGACATTTAACCACAGTAAGAATGTGATGTGTATAAGGACAGAGACAAGTCTAAGAATCTGATGTCTACAAGAACAGAAACTGGGCTAATAGAGATATAAAGACAAGATTATTATGACCCCTTTGTATAAATACATGGGATGGGTAGCATAAGGATAATCACTGCTAATACTTAGGACAACAAAAGAATTCTCTTTATTGAGACCATTTGGCAACACGTTTAGACTAAAAAATTTCATCACCTGTTTGGAAGCTTTTCCTTATTAGAGCCTGGGATCGGTCCCATCATGTGTTTTTAGAGGTATTAGCAGAGAGCCAGAGAAAACATCTTCTGTAGAGGAAACATGCCTTACATGAGATTAGTATCCTGAAAAGGCCAGGATATCATAAGTGAAGAATAAGGACTGTGGAGAGAGGGGAAGGGTGCAGAGAAACATACACATTCCATGGAATGTTTTCAATAACTACGCAAGAAAAATGCCACTAATCATTAAAGTATTAAAAAAAAAAAAAAAAAGAAAGCATGTCCAGTATTGAAGGAAATCATGTAAAACGTTTCCCTGAATCCAAGCTAGCAGGCATTTCTGTGACATTCTATAGTCATATGCCCTCACAGGAAGATTCCAGGAATCAGCCCATCGATGCAGCTAGAATGGAATAAACTAGAATGATTCAACAGCCATGAGTATCATAGTTTATTTGTTGGTTGTGTTCGTTGATTTATTTTTCCATTGGTGTTCCACTGCTCTGCAAAGGCTCCAGGACATAGAGCTCTGAGGAGAAAGAAGGAAAGGTTGCTCATTTCGATATCCTTTTCAGAGGTGCTGTGCTTAGGGACATTCTCCAGAAATGCAACTTTTCCTATTAGAAGGTGACCTCCTGACAGCATTCATTATCCTAGTGTGGAGGAAAAGATCGCCACACCAGTCCTTTCTCTGTTACACGAAGTTGTTGCCAACATGTGACCAAAGCATGGCCCCTCTTTGCTGAAAAATGTTTTTCTACAGCCCTGCCTCTTAGATTAGCGAGCCAGAAAAATTACTGATAAATTGTCCCTTTTCTGATTGTCATTGGCAGTTGAGTAATTTTAAGTTGGCAGGTTTTATAAAGAGTCACAGGATGGAACGCCCACCAAAGCAGCAGTCGGGTCTTCTCAGACAGTCATTGGCTTTGGATTTTCTCACCTCCAGAAGTTTTACATATTTTTGTCCCAGATGATTCATGGTTTATATTCCATTAGTTTATCTCATATCCATGAATACTTCTCCCCTCTCTTGCCTTAAAGATTATACCAGTATATCCCCTGGGTTATCTCCATGGATTGGTTAGGCCTCACCAGCCAGTAAGGAGGGATAGAATCAGGAATGGATGTGCATCTTCCTTCATTATAACTACTTACTTATAAGAAGTTGCTTAGAACCCATTTGGCCTCTTTAGTTCACCATCAGATGGACCTTTCTCCCACAAACTAACTTATACCAAATTATTTTTCTTGGCCACTAGAAAACTTTCATGTCAAATGTTCTTTCCCTGTTGTCCTAAAGGTTGCATTTTTCAGTTATAGAAAAAATAATAATGTTTTCTGTAAAGTAGAAGTCCTTTCAGTATTAGCTATACATGATGCCTACCTCTACGGGACATGGCCCTGTTGGCCCTAAGCATTGTAATTAACTCTCAGAACTCTGTATCCAAAGAGCTCCTTCATGACACTGGCCATCTCAGTCACAGATGTGAAGTAGATTTTACCTTATAAACAGCCACTCCTATATTTAGACTCCTGAGTGTCCATATGCATCTTTTGTGGTATAATATATAAAGGCAACAGGGATTCATTCCCCTTACCCTTAGGGTATACTACTGTCGGAACTGCAAGATGTGAAAAAAGTTCTTACGGCTTGGAGTGTCTTTCTGGAAGAACTTGTTTCTCCACTTAACAAAATAATAGTTCTCTCCTTTTTTTCTTTCATATGGTTGGGTAGAAAATTATCCACCCAATTTGAAGCATAGAAGAAAATAGATGCTGAGGTTTTCCATAACCATTCCTATTCTCTGTGTTCCCTTAGATACTCCTGTAATACTTAATGTGGATAGTTTGTTAATATTGCTGTAAAGTATTATATTGTATGATTGGAAGACAGACTACGTGTCATTTTATTATACTCTGTCAATCTATAATATATTAGACTGATGCTTTATCTAAAATGCTTTGAGTTTGTATAATATATCTTGACAAATTTTACTACCATATGTAATGTAATAAATGTGTATTTTTGTACTTGCAGAAACTGCTGCTAACTTTTAAAGTTGTTTGGTTTTCGAAGCACTGATAATGGATATGTATGAAGTCCATGCTGTCTATTAAATAAAAAAAAAAAATTCTGTAGCATTAACAGTCCCATCAGAGCAATATTGCCCTTTTGTAGAATTGTTTTAATGAACCCAGTTTCTGCTTCACATTGGAAATTTTATAAGATGTATTTAATATTGAATTGGAACTTTGAACTTCTAGTCGTAGACCCTGGTCAGTCTTTCTAGAAAAAGAGGGTTTTTTTTTCTTTTATATTTTCCTAATCTTATCATTTACCAGACGAGTCATGCTTTAGACACATAGTCTTCATTTTCTTAGGCATTATGATTTCATTTTGCTCCTAGAATCAGATATAGTCTATATTCTCCTATCAAGAGAACCATTAACTCAGTTTGAATGATTGTATAAGATTCTCTTATCTAAATTTGAACCATTCTAACCAGAGTACCCAGTTGACCCCAGGCACATCCAGATATCCCAAGGTGTCTGGATTCAGACACCCCAACACATCAGTACTTCCAAAGTCATATAAACTTACTAAATGTTACTGGTTTCTCATGGCTGTTGCATATTTGCCTTCTCGAAATTCATTGAGGTTCACTCTGTGTAAGTTTAACCACCATTTCATAGAAATTCAAAAATCATAAACTACCTTAGTCCCGAAAAAGTGATTTGCTTTAATGGAACACTGAAGACTAGCAACTCCACTGTCAGAAATGTCACTGATTATATGTGGGCAATGTACAGAAACACTGATGTTAATTTCTCTCTATATTTTACAGAAATACAAAGATACTTTTGCTGCTAAAAAAGAGTCTTAATCAACTAAAAACACTGGATTCAAGGAATTATCTCACTTTGTGTTTTTCTACCTTTCATGGCATGATGTTGAATTGAAAGGATCTAACGTGTCCTTGAACCACTGGCATATTTTGTCTGTTGAAAAGAAACTCTAAGAATATTATGTATCTTAATCAAAATTATGGTAGTGTTTAATTGATATTTTCCTACCTGGTCATGTTTTAATGGCTTGAGAGGAAGTCTTTGAAAACTGCGTATTTCAATACAAAAAAACTGAATAATAAAGTTAGGTAAAATGTTAACTTTCTTTACTATCTATTCTGGTTATCAGGATATCTCATAAGCTAAGTTTCCTGCTGAAAGGAAGAGTTCTCTTGAGTTCTGTGCTGTCTGCCCCAAATATGAGTCCTACTCATTTTCTGAGCCACCTGTGAGTATAAATCCTTCCATCTTTATTGTTTGTGGGGTTTTTTAAATACTGTGAACTCCTTGAGTGTCAGTTCTGCATAATGTCAGATGTGTGGTAGACTTGGCAGAAGGTGTATAATTGGGAAAATTTTGAAGTCCCAAAGAAACATACACAGAGGATGGTATCAGATGTATATTGTTCCTAACTTTGTGTAAGACGTGTTCTCATTGTGCATCGTGTGTCCGGGGCATACATACATATTTAGATAGTTCAAAGTGTTTTTCTAACTTATTTAATTTGTTAGGGCAAAGTAAATACGTTTTCTGGAGTTTGGTTTTATTTTACATGACAATATAAAGTGCAGATTTTGGAGACATTAATATTTAAATAATTATTTACATATAGGTTTGATTTTAAATTACAGTAACTTGGAGTCAAATTTAGAACTTCTTGCAGCTTCTTGATCTGTTATGAAGAGTGAGTAAGTTGCCTAAAAACCTGTAGTTAGGAGGTAGTCCCATTTCTAAGCAAGTAAAATGGATGGTATAAAGAAATACTCTTCCATGTCACAGGGGCTGTGATTGTTAAAGATTTTCAGGAAGAAAGGAAACATTTTATATCTTTGTTCAAGAATGAGATGACTGAGAAACAATTATCAAAATACATGAATTCAGAGAAGCTTACCACTTGTAGGCACAGCAAATAGAGGAGGAGGAAAGCTATAGATGAGCTAGCTAATTCAAACAAGAAACTGAAATCACAAGGAGTTCAAACAAAATTGAAAAGAGGGAAGGAGCATGTCTTGGGGAGATGAAGGTGTTACAAATGATATAAATGCTATTCAGGCAGTTTAATTTTTATTACCAGGTACCATTCTAGACCCTAGGGATACAAGGTAACAAAAAAAACAGATTGTTTCTGCCCCAGGAACTTTAAACAACTAAGGAAAAAATTGGGCTGTGTAGAAGAAAGTTAACATTAATATTCACTGGGCACTTGCATGCTCTGCTAATCAGTGCATTATTTCATTAATGCTCACAGCCCTACATGGTGAGTACATTCAGCTAGAGCCTCATTCTGACCCTAGGCTCTTTTTTTCTCAACCTTTCACCTTAAAATAGGGATGACAATAAAACTTCCTCCATAATAAAGCAGACTAAAGTTATATACATGAGAACCAATCCAAACTCTACTAAGTTATAGAAACGGCTAGATATCTCTAATATAAAAAAATAATAACCCAGTATTGGAAATAATTCAGAAAGCTATGACAAATAAAAAAAATAATTGAGCTAAAAATTTGTTCCAGAGAAAGTGGTGTAGACTTGTGTCTCCCATCTCCTCCCCACTAAGTACAACTACAAATCCTGGAAATAATACAAAAGACAACCAAAGGGGAATTCTAAATGGTGGTAAGAGGAAGGTGAATTGGTTCAGAACTCTACGACTGGAGAAACAACAATAACTGAGCATCTTATCTCCCCTCATCCAAAAGAAAAAGGAGACCAAGACCTGACCTTTCTCAACCTAGCAACAGAAGACAGCCCAGATATGTGGATTTTCCCCCCTGATCAATCAGAGTCCCTCTGACACCTTTAGGTAAGCTAGACACCACCAGCAAGTGGGATAGATGAGTGCCCCACCAATAATAAGTGGCCAAGGGGAGAGTTATCCTTTCCTGCAGCCTGAAATCCCCCCTTCCCTGCTGGGAGATACCAGAACGGCCAGGCAACAACAGAAAGAGGACCCAGTCAGAACAAGCAGTTCAGCCTGGGAAACATCTTTGCCCCAGCAGGTATAAGACTCCTCTCCCCACACAGACTCTGAGACAGCCAGACAGCGTGGACAGGAAGCCTCTATCACAAAAAGCACTGAGCCAAGGGAACGTAAGGTCTGAGGGACAAAGAGGGTTCTCTGGCTGAGAACAGAGCAAAATAGCACCACAGAGTCTCTGAAAATTAAATGGTCCATGGGCCCACAACCCCTGAATATAGGTCAGGACCTGTGGGGTAATAACAAAAGACCCAACATTTGTATCATTGGAGTTCAAAAAAGAGAGGGTAAAGCTGAAATAGTATTCAGAGAAATGGTGGCTGAAAATGGCCCAAATTTGATGAAAGACACAAATCTGTATATTCAAGAAGCTGAGTAAAACCCAAACTAGATAAAAGTAAAAAATACACCTTAATTAAATGTTTAGAAACCAAAGACAAAGAGAAAGATCTTGAAAGCAGACAAAACTGACACCTTCCTATAAGGGAACACCAATTTTCAGATTTATCATTTGAAAGCACAATGACCAGAAGAAAGTGACACATTCTACAAGTGCTGAAGGAACTGTCAACCCAGAATTCCATATCCAGTGAAACTATCCTTCATGAATTAAGGGGAAATGAGGACATTCTCAGATGAAGGGAAACTTTTAAGAATTTGTCACTAACAGGTATACCCTTAGAGGTTAGCTAACGGAAGTTCTTTACACAAAAAGATGCTAAAAGACGGAAATTTGGAGCATCAGGAAGGAAGAAAAGACACCAGAAAGAAATAAGAATACTTAATGATACACTATTCTCATGAGCTTTGTAAGTCATATTTAATGCCTGAAACTAAAATTATAGCATCATTTGATACTCAAGACAATGATATTTAAAAGTGGGAAAAATAAAAGGACTTATATGGAAATGATGTTCTCATACTCAGTTGAAGTGGTAGGATGTTGACACTAATGAAATGGGATACTATATATGTGTATATTGTAATACTAGAACAACTACAAAAACTATATATTTGGAAGGCATATCTCTCTCAAACGCCATAAATAAATCATGATGGAATTCTAAAAAGTATTTAACCCACAGGAAGGCAAATAAAAAGGAACAAGAACCAGAGTGGGGGGAAAAAAAAAAAAACTAAAAACAAATAATAGAATGGCATACTTTAGGTCTAACATATCAAAAATTACTTTAATTACAAATGATCTACATATACCAGTCAAAAGACAAAGATTGACAGAGTGGATTAAAAAATAAAAAAACTACCTAACTGTATCCTATGTACAAGAAACTTACTTCAAATTCAATGTCATAGGTGGGTTGAAAGTAAAGAATAAAAAAGATATACCATGTAAATTGATCAAAAGAAAGCAAGGGTGTCTATATCAAAATTGGGTAAGGTAGACTTCAGAGCAAAGAAAATTACCAGAGACAGAAAGGGACATTATATAACAATAAAAGGCTCAATCCACCAAGAAGACATCACAAGCCTAAAATGTGTATGCACAAACAACAAAGCTTCAAAATATGTAAAGCAAAAGCTGATTTAACTAAAAGCAGAAATAAATAAAAACTGTTGAAGACTTCAGTGCTCCTCTCTCAGCAATGATAAAGAACTCATCAGTGCCATGAACCAAAAGGTTATAACTGGTATTTATAAAACACTTCACCCAACAGCAGCAAAATACACGTTCCCTGCATTTGCCCATGGAACATAAATCAAAATAAAACCATAAAACCAACATCAACATTTTAAAAGAATTAAAAAATTATACAGAGTATATTTTCTGAGCACAGTGTAATCAAACTAGAAATCAATAAAAGAAAGATAACAGGAAGATCTTCAAACACTTGGAAACCTAAAAACACACTTCTAAATAATCTGTTGGTAAAAAGGACAGTTCAAGGGAAATTTTTCTAAATCCTAGAACTAAATGATAATGCCTATCAAAAATATGTGAGATACTGGGGTACCTGGGTGGGTCAGTCGTTAAGCGTCTGCCTTCTGCTCAGGTCATGATCCCAGGGTCCTAGGATCAAGCCCCACATCGGGCTCCCTGCTCAGCGGGAAGCCTGCTTCTCCCTCTCCCACTCCCCCTGCTTGTGTTCCCTCTCTCGCTGTGTCTCTCTCTGTCAAATAAATAAATAAAGTCTTTAAAAAAAAAAAAAATACGTGGGATACTGCTAAAGTAGTGTTGAGAAAAATTTCTAAGACTGAATGCTTACATCATAAAAGGAAAGATCTTAATAAGCTAACTTCCTACTTCAAGAAACTAGGAAAAAAAAGAGTAAAAGAAACCCAAGACAAGCGGAAGGAAGTGAGAAGGATTAGAATAGAGATCTGTAAAATTGAATATAGGAAACAATAGAGAAAATCAATACAAAAAGTTGATTGGAAAAATTAGTAAAATCGATAAACCTCTATTGAGACTGATGGCAAAAAAATTTTTTTAAAAGAATATAAATCACCAGTATTAGAACTAAAACAGGATATCATCATTGATCCTGTAGTCATAAGAGGATAATAAAAGATTACCCCAAGTAATTTTTACATTCATAAATTTGACAACTTAAAAGAAATGGAAAAGTTCCTCAAAAACCACAAATTACCAAACTTCAGCCAAGACCAAATAATATGAACATTCTTAAAATCATTAAATAAATTGAATTCACAATTTTAAATTATGAAAATAATAATAAATAAATACATATACAAGCTCCTAAAGAAAAAACTCTAGGCCTAGATGGTTTCACTGGAGAATTCTAACAAACATTTAAAGAAAAATTAACACCAATTTACATCATGTCTTTAAGAAAATAGAAGGGAACACTTTCAATTCATTTATGAGGCCAGTATTACCCTGATAAGGAAACCAAACAAAGCCAGTACAAAAACAGAAAATTACCGACCCATGTCACTCATGAACTTAGATGCCAAAAACAAAAAACTTAGCAAACCAAATCCAACAGTGTATAAAAAGAATTAAACAATATAATCAAGTAGAATTATTTTCCAGGTATGTGACGTAGTTTAACATTTGAAAACAAATCTGTATCTATATCAACAAGCTAAAGATGGAAAATCACAATATATCAATTGACACAAAAACATTTGACAAAATTTAACACCCATTTGTGTATTTTAAAATTCAGCAAATTAGAAGAAAATTATCTCAACATCTACAAAAGGTCTACGGCTAACATCATACTAAATGATGAAAGATTGCTTGCTTTTTCCTAAGATTGGGAACAAAGCAAAGATGTCTGTTCTTACTCTTCTTATTCATCATACTACTATAAGGCATAGCCACTGGGATAGGGCAAGAAAAATTTTTAAAAATACCCAGATTGAAAACGAAGAAATAAAACTATTTGCAGATGATGTGATTGTCCACATAGAAAATCCCAAGGAATCTACCAAAAAAAAAAAAAAAAAAAAAACCCTCCTCGGACTAATAACTGAATTTAGCAGGGTCACAGGATATAAGATCAACACACAAAAATATTTTTACTTGTATATGCTATAAATATGCAGAAAATAGGGGTGCCTGGGTGGCTCAGTCAGTTAAGTGTCTGCCTTCTGCTCAGGTCATGATCCCAGGGTCCTGGGATGGAGCCCCACGTCAGGCTCCCTGCTCAGCAGGGAGCCTGCTTCTCCCTCTCCCTTGCTTGTGCTTTCTCTCTCTCTGATAAATAAATATAATCTTAAAAAAAAAATAAATATGCAGAAAATAAAGTTAAAAGTAATATTATTTATAATCACTCCAAATTAAATAGATAAAAATCTAAGGAAACATGCATTGGATATGCATTCTGCAAATTATAAAATGTTGGTGAAATTCTGCTGAAAGAAATCAAATAATACCTAAATAAATGGAGAGATGCAGTGTTCATGGTTGGAAAACTCAACGTGGTAAAATGTCATCTCTTTCCAAATTGATACAGAGGTTTAATGCAGTCCCAACCAAAATCCCAGAAAGGACTTTTGTAGACATAGACTTCTTCTAAAATATATGAAAAGGCAGAGGTCATAGAAGAGCTAAAATATTTTCAACAGAAGAATAAAGTGAGAGGGATCACTCTGTCCAATATTAAGACTTACTCTGTAACTACAGCAATCAAGACAGTGTGGTATTGGTGGAAAGATGGACAAATAGACCAGTGGAACAGAGTAGACCTGCACAAATATAGTCAACTGATTTTCAACAAAGGTGCAAAAGGAATTCAGTAGAGATAGGGTAGCCTTTTCTACAAAAAGTGTTGGAACATTTGGACATCTAAAGGTAAAACTAGAACCTCAACCTCAACCTCAAACCTAAGCTTCACATCTTATACAAAATGGATCATGGACTTAAATGTAAACTTTAAAATGTAAAACCTTTAGTTAAAAAACAAAAAAACAAAACAGGTGAGGATCTTTAGGATCCAGGGATAGGTACTTAGATTTGACATTAAAATCATGATCTATAAAAGGAAAAAATTGGACCTCATAAAAATAAATTGAACTTCACCAGAATTAAAAACTTGTGCTCTGAAAGAACATGTGAAGAGTATGTGAAGCTATAGCCTGGGAGGAAATATTTGCAAGCCGTATATTTGACAAAGGACTAGTATCTAGAATATATAAACTCTCAAAACTCAACAGTAAAAAATTTTTTTTAAAGTCTGGTCTGACATGTAAGGAGTTTGAAAGTTTTCTTCACAACAGGAAAAAAGCTGAACAAACAAAATCAACAGTTTTTCTCAGATCCATCAAAGAATGGAGATTATAGGGAAAACTGCTGCCCCTAAATTTAGAGAGATAGGCAGGTGGATACAGAGAAGGGCAGCTTACCAGAGCAGAAGCCCAGAAACAGAAACCCTTGCTGGAACCAGTCCTGAATCAGAAAACTTACATTGTAATTGACATATTGCTGGAGGCTCAGTGTAGACAAGTTTGAGAGTTAAAAGCTCCGGGGTGCCCAGTCTTAGAAGACCACCACATTTTTGTGAGTTTTACTAACAGGAGCCCTACCAGGTTCTCATGGTAAAGATCAGAAAAAGATCTCTCGCACAGGTGGAGTTAAGATGGAGGAGTATGCCCGGCAGCCTTGCCCTTGGCGAATTGTAGATGATTGTGGTGGGGCCTTTAGGATGGGTTCCATAGGCGGTGGGACCTCTCAAGCAATCAAAGGTTTTTGCAATTCTCCAGTGGGAGTAAACCACAGACTATGAGGGAGTTTGGCAGCTATTAAAACCAGGGCTCTGCAATTGGGAGATAGCTTTACAGTTTGGGGAGGTTTGTTTTCCACTGTTGACTGCAGTCTGGTTCAAATCAGAGGGAAAGAAGATCCCTGGCACTCCATCACAAGTGGTGCCATTAACAGGAGCCATACTGGCAGCAAGAAATGGACCAGTGGCCATGGTTGGGTCAGCCACGATGGGTGGCATTTTCCTAGCTTCGACTGAAGGAGCTGGTTTCTTGTTGACAAGATTGGCCTCTGCACAATTTCCTTGTGTCCTCAGTTTGCAGGAGACCCTTCAGCCCAGTTACCATCCTCCCTTTTGGGAGACTATCAACAATACCAATAGGACTTCTTTCCCAGGATTACTTTAAGAGAATGAGCGGTAGTTCAAGAAGGAAATTGAGAAGGTAAGTTACAGTCTGTTTTTAAAACCATAGGTGGGACAGCTATGGCCAAATAGGCTCTGAAGAGGCACTCAGCTCTTTTTGCCATTTAAAGGAACATGGCGGGAAGAGACAGATGTTAAAAGATAATACATTTATTTATTCACACTTGGGTTGCATTTGTATTAAAAATAAATGTCTATTATCTTTATAAGAAAATATAATAAATGCTTAGAAGACAAAGGACCAGAGGGCAAACAACAATGAAATGTAACCATCATTTCCTTGGGAACTTCTCTGCTTGGTTTTATGTGTTCTATCAGTCAAACAATAAAAAATTCCTGGAATGTGCTCTTTCTAGAAAGGAAAGGGAAGGGAAGGGAGAAAGAGAGAGAGAAAAAAAAAGAGAAAAAGGAAAGAAAAATTTCATGTTTCTAGCAAGGAGAAGAGAAAAACAGCCATTTTAAAATATGCCTGGAGCATTCTGTTCTTTTTAACAAGGCCCATCCTCAAGGAAAACTATTTTACCAGGGCCTAACCAACAAATGGGAATGGTTGTACTCAAATCCAGCCTACTCTAGCCTTCTATGCTGGGATGGGGGTGGAAGGGGGATACCCAACTCCAGTCCCCCCAGCCTTCTTGTCTCACCTGAGGGAGAGGGGAGAAAAAAGCAAAAACCTAGTCATTGGAAATGTTTTGTTTTGTTTTGTTTTGTTTTCAAAAAGCTAGGAGTCAGGAGCATAGAAACACTCAGCCTCAGTGTCCTGATGTGTTCACGAAAGATATTTGCTCTACTTAAAGGACAGGAAACAATTGCTAACTCATCCAACAAATACATATTAATCACTCACTATGTGCCAGGTGCTGTCCTAGCTGGGTACAACAGTGAGCAAGCCGTGCGCAAGGGAAAAAACTCTGGCCCTCATGACGTTTACATTCTAGTGTGGAAGGCAAACAATAAATTGTCAAGACAAATAAGGAAATATTTATTGTATTATATGATGGTAAGTGCTGAGGAGAAAAATAAAGCAGGGAAGAGAGATGTAAGAGGCAGGTGAAATTTTTGATCAGCTGTCCAGTGAAGGCCCCCGAGAAGGCACGGTTAGGTAACAAGTTGAAGGGAGTGAGGCGAGGCAGGTGCTGAGCTTTGTGGATATCTAAGGCTAGAGCATGACTGGCAATGTGGTGAGTGAGAACACTCAAAAAGTTCAAAGCATTGTATGTGTGTGCATGTGGGAGAGAAATAATCTGACGTCTTAGGGATTTTGTGGTCTTTTTTCCTTCTGTTTTCTCTAGCTTTTGTCCAAAGATTATTACCTAGAATCAGAGCCATTTGAAGTGACCTAAGAAATCAGCAGGCCAACCTCAAATGATCCCCAGAGAGGCCACATCTGGCCCAGGTTCCAGAGCTAGGAAGTGGCAGGGCATTCCTCGGTGCTCTCTCCGTGGTCCATGTTCATCCCTGCATTTGCCTGCCTGGGAAGCTGGTCATTTGAGGCTCACTGAGAACCCACAACTGGGTTAAGCCAAGTCCAGGTTGTGACCCAGAGACTAGCTTCTCTAAGACATTTCTCAAATGCCAAACATTTTCCTAGCTGAGGATCTGTTTCTGTTCAGCTCTGGTTTCTAATTCTCTTAGTTGCAAGCACGGCCCAGTATCCTTCAGCTTTTTGCCCTCTGCAACACTTTCCATTCAGGGACAACCGTGGATGCCATGCTTACACTCAAGAGTTGTGGCAGTGGACAAAACAGCACTTGGTCCTCTAAGAGCCAGAGTACAAAAACAGCACCCAGGTCTTGTTCAGGTTGGTTATGTTTGACTTGGTCTGGGTCTGAGGGATTCTCTCACATATGGCTCTCCCTTCCCTCCACATGGTATCAGATGCAGGCTGTGGATCATGCATGATGTCAGAGTGGCTGATTCCAGTCAGAACAGCCCTTGGTGCCATGTGTCACCAATGTAAACAACTGGTTGGTATGGTGTCATGTAGACAAAACAACTCTTGGATGGGTTGGGTTTTCACTTTTCACTCAGCTCAAGTTGGCATGAGTCTAGGGTGGTGCCTGCCAAGTATGTGGGTAGGTTGGGGCCCTGCACGAGTTGCTGTGTGTGGTGTTGGCAGCAGACCCATTTTCCCACTGCCTTTTAGTGGTCTGAAGCGCTTGGTGTAGAGGGTGGGGGCAACAGAAAGGAGTTAATTTTGGGAAGCCGATAAGTAGGATAGGGACTGAGTATGTCAGTCACCTGAAAACATCTCAGATGTTTCTCAAGTTTACCTTCTTGTCCAGAGCGGAATTTGCCAGGACTTTGACATTCACCCCAGCCTGTGCCTGTGTGTGACTGACCAGGCTACAGCAAAGTCTTTCTGGAATCTGAGGTTAAGAAAGATGAAAGGCCAGTGCCGCCTGTCTGTCTGCAATGGGCATATTGCATAATAATAGCTCTCTCTGATCTTTCTTTTGCATGTTCTTGGTTTCTCCACTTCTTCCTTTCAGCTTTGTAATATGACACCCAGCTGCTTCTTATCTTTGCTGCCTCCCCTCACCTCCCAACTCTCCTCTCTCGGATCCACACAGGGAACACAGACCACTCCTGCTTTGAAGCCTTAAGGACCCTGTCACTTCCCTTAACACCCTCTGTTTTCTGGACTTGTTGTTTAGTGATGCTGTAGCCACGTGAAGACTGTAAACCAACCCCTCAACCTTTATAAGGTGTCTTTCTCAGACAGGCTACCTGCCCTAATAGACCCTGGAGGCCCCATCTCAAGGTAGGGACAGGACCTAGAATTAAATATTTCGTCTGGAGTTTTTTGGCTCCTCTGTAAACTCAAGAGGTCTGAAAAGCAAGACTGTTGACTTCCTTAGGTAGCTTTTATACTTTGTAAGCTTCCTGTGGAGGAGGACAACAAAGAGCTTTGTACTATCAGGCCAAGCCCAGAAGAGGTGGCATTTTCATTTGTGGGCCAGCTTCTGCGGTTACCACAGCCTGGTGGGCCCCTCAGGTTTGGCCAGTGATGTGACATCACATCACATCACATCACATCACAGGCACATGTGATAAGCTGTGACATGAATGACCCATCTTGACATTTGCAGGTCTAAGGAGTCCAAAGCCACAAGCTGTAGGTGTTTTCCAAGTGCCCCAGACTTGGAAGACGGATCATTTCCATCACCAATTGACAATTTACTTTATAAAAAGAGTTCCTGCCTGTTTCCTTTGCTCCTTCCAAGAAGGAAGACTGTGCTTTGAAGCAAGAAAAAATTGCCCTCCACATACCTTTTCTCAAAGGCTCTGTCTGCAGTGAACAGGAACTCCCTGTCAGGGCCCCCCACCTGCTTGGGCCCCTCCAAGGTGGGAATGGAGATCACTACAACATTTTCAGCGTTAAGAAAGGCCAATTATAAAACTGCACAGGCTAATGGCAAGAGAAGCAGCATCCTTTACTTTTACTTGTAACTCATGAACCTAGTACATTAACTTGTGGGAAAACAAGATCTGTCTCCTGACACACTACTTAAAATCATGTAAGTGAGAGGTTATTTTGGTGGAAAAGCAAGGAGCCATAATAAAAGGAACCTTTAGAGAGAAAAGGCAGGATGTCCTTGGCAGCTTGCGGCCGTCCCATGACACAGAGCGCCGGGACCTGCACACAGTCCCAGGGGACTAGCACACTTCGGGCACTTTTCACTGGAAATACAAATAACAAGAGATGGATTTAAGTTTTCCAATGTTTCCTTTCTGCCTGCCCCCCCAAGAAAGATGTAAGGATGCTTAGTAATGAGGATTGAGGGGAGAGTAGGATAGATGAGTAACAAGTAGGAGAACGGCCTGGAATAGGGCGGCACATAGTAATAGTGGTAGTTACTCTCATACTCCGGACTGCTCGTTGAACTGCTGTGAATTTCAGAGTTTATTTGAATCCCATTATCCAAAGCCCCTTAAGATGTCAGCGAAGCAAGCGTGATTGCCCGTTTTACAGATGAATGAATTGGTTACTCGGTTAGTAAATGGCGGAGCCAGAGCTTGAATCTAGACCTCCTGACTACTCACTAACCTTAAGTCTTTTCAAAATACCAAGCTGCAGGGCTGTTGTGCACTTAAAAGATAAAGGTTCTACCACTCCCACCCCACTCCCAATTATCCCAGATTCTTTTGGGGCTCTTAGACCTACTGGCTGAAAACAACCTCTCACGGGAAAATTAGATTGCCCAGCACCAATGATAAAAGAAAAAAATTGATAACATCAAAATTAAACATTTGTCCTAAAAAGACATCAGTAAGAAAATAAATGGAGAGTCCACAGACTGAGGGAAAAAAATACATACATAGCCCTTATCTGAAAAATCCAGGATATATAAAGAAACCCTACAAATCAAGAGTAAAAAGACAATGCATTTATTAAATGGGCAAAAGACCTGAAAACATACTTCACCAAAGGAGATACACAAATGGCCAATAAGCATGTGAAAAACTGCTCAGCATCATCAGTCACAAAAATGCAAATTAAAACCACAACGACATAGCATTGCATACCCACTAGAAGAGCTACAAATTTTTTAAAGTGACATCACTAAAGGCTGCGGAGCACCTGGAACTCTCCTACATTGCTGGGGGCATGTACAAAATGGTATAACAACTTTGGAAAACTGCCAGTGTCTTACAAGGTTACACACACATTCACTCCAGATACTTACCTAATAGTAAGAGCAACAAAGATTTGTCCATACAAAGAGTTATACATGAATATTCACTACAGCTTTTATTCCTAATAGCCCAAACCAGTAAACAACCCAAGTGTTCGGTGATAGAAGAATGGATAAATAAGTTGTGGCATATTCATGAAGTGGAATACTACTCATCACTAAAGGGGAGTAAATGACAGACTCATATAGCAACACGGTAGAATCTCAAGCACTTGGTGTTGAGTTAAAGAAAACCCAAAGGAGTACATACTGTATGAGGCCACTTTGTGGAACAGAAAATACAAATTTATAGTGATAGAAGTTAGAGAGTGGTTAGGAG